TTTTTTTTTTTGTTTTGTTTTTTTCAGTTATCAGCATGGCAATAATGCACAAGTGTAACAGTGAGAAGAAAAAATACACAAAACGCTTTCATGACACAAAAAGGCTTAACAATTACACACAATGCCTTTCATGATGACCTTTTGATGTCTTTGAGATATGATATCTGTTCATCCTGATTGAACATAGACAGCGACACTACAAATAATAATTAGCCATTTAACTCTAACAACATTTTAGTTTAAGATTTATGACTTTACAGAGATGATAAAAACAACGGCTTTGAAAAATATAAAGTCTTAACTAATTGTATTGCTTGTCGTTGGTCCTTGCAGGCTCCACCTTTTGATTTTGATGAAAGTGACGTGTACATGTCGTCTCATGAGCATCGTTTCCGCCTCTTCAGCTCAGTGGAGTATGAAGGACAGCTGTACATGACTCCTCAGAACTTCATCGAGTCAGTCACCATGAGCGAACCCCGCAGTGAGTAACATGTTCTGATGTGTACATGTGCTTATTCTAATCTCTAGAATTATATTTCACTCAAACTATAAAAAGCAGCAAACTTCAAGGCTCTTTACTGTAAAATCTGATTAGATGACATTACTTTAAAAATGCAAAATGATTGCCTTAAAAAATGAACTAAACATATTTATTTGGACCAATAGTTGCATATCTTTCTTTATGGAAGTACTTGATGGTCTGCAAATCACCTAATGTGGTCTTCTCAAACCATTTAAGTAAAACTTGTTTCACACAGACCTAACTCAAATCTTTGTGTTTGTACATTTATTCATTTAGCAGACACTTTTATCCAAAGCAACTTACACATGAGCAAGATGTCTAGGTATCCTTCTTTTACTAAATTATTTAAGATAAAAATGGTAAAACGACAATCATACTGTAGGGCATGGTATATAAAGGGAAAATATCTTTCCCTTTATATACTTCTTTCTCCCCAGTACTTCATAGTGCACATTAAACAGCATTTTTGTAAAATATTACCATTTTTATGGAGATGTAATGTTTAATTAAAACATCATTGTGAATTAAATGGTTTGTTGTTGGGCCTTGATCTAATAAATGGTTTGCTACTATAGTCTAATTAATACATATTAGAAACAAAAGTCATTAATGGGTCTTAATGGATCAGATCAAAGCTGTGCAAGAGAGCCACAGAAGTGCTTAATTATTACTTAGCTGGATTCAATCTCTACTGTGCTTTGAAGTGCAGGTCTTGATACAATAAATGTCTAAATGTTCCACGGCAAACACAACAGACATTAATCTTATATGAAAATAGCATGACAGCCATTAAAATACCTGCAAACCCCTATTGTAGTCCCCTTTTCAAGATACTGTACTTTAAAGATAATTTTATAAAATCTTTATTGGAAAGGGTTTAAACAAACAATATTTTTATACTTGTTCAATGAACCACAAATGTTTTTTGCACATGCACCTGTGGACCAGTCCTTAAGACATTTACGGTTTACAGGTGGTATAAAGTCACTGTAATAATAACTTAGGACATTAAAGAGACCTACTGACTCTGACACCCAGGGTCTCTGAACACCTGCGTGAACATACCTTAGTCCTGCTACGGGTGACATGAGGACTGCAGATGTGGCCAGAGCAATAAACTGCAGTGTCTCGAATGCAAGATGCTTAAGACAGTGCTACAAGGAGACAGGAAGGAGCTGATCGTGCTTTTAGTTTTCTCTCAACATATAGCACAAAAATAGTTTTTGATAGTTGCGTTACGTCTGAAGCAAAGCCTGTAGGACAAACTGAGCCTCTCAGCAAAGCTCCATGGGGCTGGTTGCCATGAGAGAGCATAATCAAATTTAGCCCAGCTCTTCTACTGTACTCTGACAGTGAACTGCATCTGCTCAAAAAAGGAAAAAATGCTACTCCAAAGATCTTGTTGTTTTGTCTGATTGATAAATATTATGGTATGAGACCCCCATCCTGAACTTATCTCACCGGCCACCCTCTTTCTGTTTCTGTCTGTCTGTTATTCTTAGTGAAGAAACCTTGGAGGTCCCTCACCAAACAGGTATGTTTTAAATGTATTTGTAATGCATGCTATGTAGATATGATAGCAAAGTTAAAATATTATTTACAGGTAATATTTAGATTTGCATTTCATTGTATGTACAGCCCTAAGAGTGAATCATTTATCCCATATAGTATGTTTTGTCATGTTTTACAGGAGTTGGAGAAGATCTTGTCCGACACTCCACCAGTGTG